ACAGGCATTTTTTCCACAGGCATGGCATGTCTACAGGCATGTTGATGGCACACTTTTATGGACACATTCCTACGTAGTCCTAAATTCTTGCCCACATACCCACATGCCTTTCAAGTGGAAGTTTTACATTCTTCCCACATTTCTTCCCACATGCCTTCGAAGTGGATGTCTTAGCATTCCAAGTGGAAGTCCTACATTCTTGCTCACATTCCTGTCCCACATGTCTTCCAAGTGAATGAACTACAAACTCCTAAAACATTTTAGAATTACTTCTGTGAGTACAGTCGATAGTGATCAGATGTGCTGTTGTAGTACCAGGTAGCCGCTTGTGTTGAGTGTCCGTTGGATAGGTAAGTTTGCCATATACATTATCTATGTCTAGTTGTCAAGGTCGTGATTTGGAGTTAGTTTTTTTTTAAGTTGCCAACACTAGTCAAAGAAGTTGCCAACACTAGTCAAAGTGTGTGTTGTTTTTAGGATCTGTTATGACAATAGACAATAGCATTTTAAGGAGGGCCCCGCATGCCCATTTTCCGTAGAGTGTAATTGACTGTTTTAATTCTACGACTGTAACCGGGCCGATCTATTAACGCGTGTCCTGGATGGTAAGTTTGCCATGTTCAATGATGAATCCTATGATGAATTCTACGTAAGTCAGCACAAGACATAGACTTTAATAAATGTATCTTAAATGTCAGTATAATTTATAGAGACCATGCGCGTTTTTTGTGTAAATACTACTCTACTGGAATTTGGAAAATGACCCACGCTGTCTTTCCACCAAGCTTCTATTGAGTCGCATGGTTGGGATACATTCAAGTTGATATTTATAAGTTCAAAAAAATCGACGAGTACAATATTATCATGTGACCCGTTTCTAGCAAACTAGCGCATTTGAAGCTTGCGTTGTGTATAGACTATTACACATATTAGATGTTTTGTGCTACCGTTTTACAAGAAGTTCTAAATATAACAACTCTTCATGAATGGAAAGGATTGTTCATATAAATTTCTATTTCATTACAAATTCAAACTGTTGACACGGAGATCAGTTAGCTAGGATAGGCTAGGTATATTGCGAAGTTAACTCCTCACG